TGACACTGTCTTCTGCAAATATGTGACACTGTCTTTTGCAAATATGTGACAATGTCTTCTGCAAATATGTGACACTGTCTTCTGGATATTCATTGTAAGCAATGAAGTATGATAAACGGTAAAAACAAAAACTCATTAGAATGTAGACGTTTGATTTCTAAATGTTTTCTAAATTAGTGTCCATGTTATCCGTTGTCATGAAGTTTTGGAAAACTCGTTTAGTCGATGTCATGTTCATAAGCTAGAATGTGTTGCTTGTCTTCCAAATTACCAGTGACACAGCGGTATGTTTACGGATTTACAACGCTAGAAATCGGATTTCGATACCCATGGGGGCCCGGCATGGCCAGGTGGTTAGGGTGCTCGACTCGCGATTTGCGGGTCGCGAGTTCGAATCCACCTCTCACCAAACATGCTCGCCCTTTCAGCCGTGGAGGCGTTATAATGTGATGGTTAACCACACTATTCGTTGGTAAAGACTACACCAAGAGTTGGCGGTGGGTGGTGATGCACTGCTAAGTTAGGAACGGCTAGCACAGATAGCCCTCATGTACCTTTGCGCGAAATTCAAAACAAACAAACGATAACCGTGGTGGGCAGAGCACGGATAGCCCATTTTGTAGCTTTGTGCTTAACTTCAAACAAACAAACTAACTCAATTATTAAAGACAACTAACAATAGATTGTATGCAAATACTGCTATCTTTAACACCTTACCACCTAGTTACACGTGTGGAATCGTCTTTAGATGAGGTAGCTAGATATCTTTTTTTATGTAAACCACAGATTTTGTTATGAGATATATATAAATCAAGCTCGCGGTTGTTTTCGGGTTTAATCTAGTCTGCATTTCGGACTTAAATTAATATCTTATTGACCTATTTAATGCATATTTATGTCAGTCCTAAAGCAAAATGAAAAAAAGTGAGATGTTTCTTGATTTAATACCCATATATCCGTCCATCAGTTTTTCAGTCACATTTCGTGTTTAATGGGTCTGTGTAATAATTCTGAATTCTTGCTAAAACGTGATTTCACTTCTTGTTGTTTAGAGACCTATTTTGTCGTCCAATAGCGTTTCAAAAAGACATAAAACCGACACAAGAAGAATAAATTGTAAATATACTCGTAGTAATTTAGCTCAAATTTTGTCATGTTTCATTTAAAAGTGTAACCGTTCACTGTAAACAAGATTTAAAAGTACACGTGATTGTTGTTGTTGTATCCTGAGGGTGTTATTTTACTAACACCTTTTTTGTTCGTATTTAAGTGATTAAGGTCGACGTGCACTCCATCTGCTATTACCAGTTTTTTGTTGCTCACAAAATAAACAACAACAAAAAATTACTGGTCGATCAAGAGCGATGTCACTTTTTACCACGTGGTCATCCTCGTGCACCATGGATCGCCGAGTTCAAAGAGGAAACGATTAAAATTCTATTCAGACTATAAATATGAGCACATGCTAAACGGTAAGAAAATCAAGAAGATCGTTTCGATTTGAATAGCAGAAATATGGTGAAAAAGGTAAACAATTTATTATTGTGTTTATTATAGCATTAATACGTTATTTATATGTCTGCTCAAAACGAAGTATCAAGCTGCCACTTTTCTGGAACATAATTAAAACTAGGATTTCTAATTTATTTCCAGAAACAAAGTGACAGCTCTGGATACACTAAAAAAACAGCATTAGAGTTTCATGTGATTTTAGGTCATAATTTACAGGTTTTCATTTGTTCTTGAAAAACTTAATCACAGTGTTGAAAAAAGTTACAGAAACAACCTAACCACGGTTTATCTTTGAAATCTCTAAATAAAAGGAATATTTCTTCAATTCTGTACTGTAAAGATTTAGTTACGTTATGCAAATTTATTGGCATTTCATCACGGAATATTGTCCGGACTTAGGTTAAAGTTCATGGCACTTTCCTGTTTTATTTATTTTAACAAAAAAGATAATCTCCTTGGTATTTGAAACTGTAAAATAGTTCGTGTGATATAGAGTTATTTTTTACTCCAAGTTCTATTTCTTCTTTTTTTCTATTCTTATTTTATTAAAGAACACTCTGGGCATATCCAGTTATTTTGTATTTTTTGTTTTAATTGTATGATATGTAATAGTTTTGTATTTTTTGTTTTAATTGTATGATATGTAATAGTTTTGTATTTTTTGTTTTAATTGTATGATATGTAATAGTTTTGTATTTTTTGTTTTAATTGTATGATTTGTAATAGTTTTGTACTTTTTGTTTTAATTGTATGATATGTAATAGTTTTGTATTTTTTGTTTTAACTGTATGATATGTAATAGTTTTGTATATTTGGTTTTAATTGTATGATATGTAATAGTTTTGTATTTTTGGTTTAATTGTATGATATGTAATAGTTTTGTATTTTTTGTTTCAATAGTATGATATGTAATAGTTTTGTATTTTTGGTTTTAATTGTATGATATGTAATAGTTTTGTATTTTTGGTTTTAATTATATGATATGTAATAGTTTTGTATTTTTTGTTTTAATTGTATGATACGTAATAGTTTTGTATTTTTTGTTTTAATTGTATGATATGTAATAGTTTTGTATTTTTGGTTTTAATTATATGATATGTAATGGTTTTGTATTTTTGGTTTTAATTGTGTGATATGTAATAGTTTTGTATTTTTGGTTTAAAGCTCCTCACAATCGTCTATTTCATTCTACTTGTCCTGACCGCGCGAGCAGAGGACAAAACTAACGTGGAAACTGAAGATCTCCATTCTGCGGCAACTGGTCACGGTGGAGGTGGTTATGGAGGAGGATTCGGGGGAGGACTTGGGGGAGGCGGATTCGGTGGTTTTGGTGGTGGTGGCTTTGATAAGGGTGGCGGTGGAGCCCAAGTCCTTGCTATTCCAATAAGTCTTGCTGGCATCACTTTAAGAGGTGGATTTGGTGGCGGAGGATTTGGAAGAGGTGGTTATGGTGGCGGAGGATTTGGAAGAGGTGGTTATGGTGGCGGAGGATTTGGAAGAGGTGGTTATGGTGGTGGAGGATTTGGAAGAGGTGGTTATGGTGGTGGAGGTTTTATAGGAAGCAGTTTAGTAGGTGGAGGCTTTCGAGGAGGATATGGCGGAGGCGGATTTGGAGTAAGAGGTATTAGACTTGGACTTGGAGGAGGTCTAGGTGGTAGAAGAGGATACGGTTGGTGGCGAGACTAAAGGTTCGTATGAAAACTTGTTTATATATATATATATAATGTATATCTTTTTCAATACAGGTGCATGTATTCATAGTAGCCATAATATTAACTTCGTTGGCTGTCGACTTGGATGATTGCATTAGAAAAAGAAAGCTACAATTTATGAAAAATGTTTAATTTTATTATTTAGAAAGTGATAATAAACATGGATTCCAGACACCATCACGTTTAAGTTTTAAGTCATACAAAATGTCTACTTATTAAATAATTTGGTTATTAAAAATTATTTATGCTTTTTAACTTACACATATTTTATTTTTTTCCACAGCTCAACACCATCTTATCACACAGACGTGTGGTGCCATCTGTTTTTTATCCTCTGGTGTTAAAACAAAATACAAATTATCTCCAAGGTTTTGGTATTTTCAGATTTATTGTGTATGCTATTTCTGTAGAAACTAATTAAATAAAGATAACTCTTCGTAGAATGAATTCGTTACCGCCCAGCATATCGTTTTTGTTCCGTGTCATACCAACGTTAAAATCTGGGGGTCGAATCCATAGATAACCCATTATGTAACTTTGTGCTAAGAAACATCAAAACAATTATGCGATACACATAACCCCACCCCCTTCACTTAATGGCTCGGCGATAAGACTGATAATTTGTAACGTTAAAAAACGGGTTTCGATACAATAAGTATTTTTGTTTTACTGAAACCTTAACAGGCCTACGTTACATATCATTCAAAAGGTTGAAAATATCGTTCTGCTTCCGAACCACATAAACAGGTTGTTAGTTTGTTTTTATAATTGTCACTCTAAGCTAAAGATAGCTAAACCTGAATTTTTACTGATAGACTAAAGGAAAGTTAGCAACAGGGTTTAATGTGTTTTTTACAGCAACAGGGTTTAATGTGTTTTTTACAGCAACAGGGTTTAATGTGTTTTTCACAGTAACAGGGTTTAATGTGTTTTTACAGTAACAGGGTTTAATGTGTTTTTTACGGTAACAGGGTTTAATGTGTTTTTACAGTAACAGGGTTTAATGTGTTTTTTACAGCAACAGGGTTTAATGTGTTTTTTACAGCAACAGGATGCGAATAATGAATCATCTGATGCACATTTTGGGCATGCTAATATCTTCAACATTAATCTTTTCGTACCGTATATGAAATAGGGTTTTAGGTCAACTTTTGGTCGCGATCAAGTCGGGAACAGTTGATGAGTTCTCGAATTAACGAAAGACTTCCTTTGTAGATAATTGTTGCGAAGAAAAGATAAGTTTGAAATGCTACTGTTAGATATGCATGTGACATGAAATCCGAAACGGGCTAATTAAAAATTATAAATCATCACGATCTTTGGTCCTTTAAGCTAAAACAAGTTTTTTCCTTCATATTAGAAGTCTTGATAAAATGTCATTGACTGTTTTGTTACGTTTATGCTAAGCTAAGTCCTAACAAACATGTCATTATCTTCAGTATTTGAAACAGATTGTCTCTAAAGCCTAAACAAGCTTAAATTAGCAAAACTAATAGCTTCAACTTCTATATAAACACAGGTTCATTCTAGTGGGATCCCCCCAGTGGTTCAGCGGTAAGTCTAAAGGCTTATGACGTTAACAAGTACACTGATGGGCAAAGATAAGATAGCCCATCACGATTAACAATAAAACAAACAAGCACTCTAGTGAATAAAAGACAACTCAAAACACAATATACTAATATATATATATACACTCGCTCACTTGTCTTGTTTGTCGCTTTTCGTTTATCTAGGGTTACTGATGAGGGACGGAATTCCCCGAAACCGGTATAACACAGTAACCGATTGTGAATCATCTGTTACATTTAGCTTCATACTTATTTTTAGCATGTCATTATTTAATTTTTCAAAAAGAACGAAACGGTATAGAAACTGTATTACAAATAAAAGTCCACATCGTGGCATGGAACACGTTCAGTGGCCTGGACAGGCCAAGCGTGAGAATTGAAATATAGAGCCTCTTTAAATTTCGATAGTTTATGTGTACAGTAGGGATAACTGTCATTTATACAAGTTCTTTTCTGCCCTCGTTTGATTTTCAAAACAAAAGAAGAACACCATGTCCTATGAAATTTAACACGTGCATTGAATAGATCAGTTGTAAAAGCAATGAAACGTCTAAACTCAGTAACTTTCAAACTATCGCGAAACAACGCGGTCTACTCATGTTACTACTAAGTTACAATCTTTAAATAATAAGACAACGTATCCTACTTCTATACTTGAAGTATAATATCTTGAACAATAACAACAATACAGGAGTAGACCGCATACTGTTACGATGATTCAAAATTTCTTCGACTTATAAGGCGTAACAACTTTTCATCCGCCACCGAAGATTGTGTTTTCACCCCTGTATGTGTTTTTCAGCACGACATTGTTATTTATATCCTGAAAACACAATCTTTGGTGGCGGATATAAATAACAATGTCGTGCTGACAAACACATACAGGGGCCGTGCTGACAAACACATACAGGGGTGAAAACACAATCTTTGGTGGCGGATATAAATAACAATGTCGTGCCGACAAACACATAAAGGGGATGAAAACACAATCTTTGGTGGCGGATATAAATAACAATACCGTGCTGAAAAACACATACAGGGGTGAAAACACAATCTTTGGTGGCGGATATAAATAACAATGTCGTGCTGATAAACACATACAGGGACTTTGTTATTTATATCCGCCACCGAAGATTTTCACCCCTGTATGTAAATGGTTAAATAGATTTGAGCGAAAGTTGATATACATTTGGACTATGAACTGACTTAGAAGTTATTAGTTTTTGGAAAGGCAAGGTCACAGAAAGGTCACTAAAATCCAAAAACTCTCTCCCTGTTGACATGGGGATCAATTTGTTCACACTATAAATTTCTCCCTGTTAACATGGGGATCGATTTGTTCACACTATATTTACTCCATAACTCAGTCAAAAATTACTGAATTTTGATGAAACTTGGACATATGTAGAGTTTAATTCCTCATTGTCGTGCCAAAAATGGTCCGTGTCCGTCGATAACGACGAACATACGCACATATTTTTGTGTTGTTGTTTTTTGAGGGCCGTAACTGATCAACGCTGAGTGGCGGAGATATGCGCATGCGCTCTACTGAGTGCTGCTCTAGTTTTCTTCTGTCATTACGTATTGGTTTCGAACATTAAATGAAGTCTCATCGGTACGAATCTAATGGCCTAATTTTGGCTTAAAAGTAACTTTATACGCTAAGGAAAATTTAATATAGCAAGAAATACATAAAACATTAAATTTTATTTTGACCGACATGCTGATAATTAATTCTAAAATTTCGAAAAATACAAAGAAATAATTTCGACTCGTACAAAATCAGATAGTTACTTACTCTGGCAGAAAGATGGTTTAAATTCACCTTTACAGACTTACATATGTAAGATGTATATGTAACATGTATTTGTTTCGGATATTCGCGAAATCTAGACAAAGGCTAGTTGCACTAACCACCCTATATTATAACTGATCGTCAAGAGAGAAGGCAGCTTGTCAACAGTACACACCGCCAACAGTTTGACCACTCTAATCGCATAATGAGATTTGACTGTCACTTATGTAACGCACTCAAAGTCCCAAAATGCGGAGAACAATTTTGTAGTAACGGATCGCGAAACATGGAATCTTGGATTTACAGTCTGGCACGATAATCATTAGGCCATGCCCGACACAGGAAGATGAAGAAAATTGAGAAGAAAAATGTAACTTCGATCAGTAGAGGGAACTTGAAAAATGAAACTATTATGAGGCTTAACATCTGTGTTTAAAGATTTGTTGCTCATAATTATAAAGCCTTTCATCATTTTTTTTATTTCATAAAAACCACCCGTATGTCAAAACCCAATTTTTTATAATTTGATATTTTTGTAATCAAGGTAGACATAAAATTTCATATTTTCATAAAAAAATAGAAAATTCATAACAAAATCAAAATATCGGATTTCGACAGAAAGCATGTCGTAAGTTCAAAATGCCTGTTTTTATACACAGAGGTTGGATGTACCAACATATACAGGTTTCGGTATATTAATGCAATTAGGATTAATTAACTAATATAACCAATGAAGCTTAAACAAATTGTTTCCTTAACAATCCAAAGTATATAAACTCAATAAGATAAAAGTTACAGACGTTATGTAAACAATGTTTGACATTGAAAAACATAAAATATGTTATTTTCTCCCCAGACGATTCGCATTTTAACACGGATACCTACTTGATATTTAAAAACTAAACGGCACTTTATGCGACACACGGGCTAAATGGTCAGATCATGCGACACATATACTAAATGGTGAGATCATGTGACACATTTACTAAATGGCAATGTCGTGCAACACATGAGTTAAATGGTCAGATCATGCGGCACATGGGCTAAATGGTCAGGTCATGTGGCACACGGGCTAAATGGGCAGGTCCTACGACACACGAGCTAAATGGCCAGGTTAGAGGCCATGATGTCCAGCCATAGCCATCTCTAACCTAGAACTGTTAACCAGAGAGAGCGACCAGTCAGCTGAAAAGCTGATTGACTGTCATAATTATATAGCCACACATTCACAGCCTGTCACATTTAGCAAGGTGACAATTAAACATTAAATGACAACATTAAGTATAAAAACCAATCGTTATGCGTTTTTTTTTCTCGCACAACGTTTCGTTTCTCCGTACTTTTACTTACCGTATTAAAAACGTACAAACAGGGGCAGACTGGACTACCGGAGAAAACAGCTAGAGGGGGCCCACAAATTTGTCATAAAACAAACAAACATACATACTTAAGAAGCGTGTGTAATTTAATGTTAAAACGCTAGTCATAGTTCACACGATCAAAAATTTTGAAAACACAGACAAGTCCTTCACAAGATCGAAGATAACGTCGTCAACAGAAATATTGTCCAGTAAATTCTTTTAGATAGACGTCATTATTAGTAGAATTAACAAATATGTTAGTTTTTAATGTCATGGTAATAAACAAATAATTGGGTTTTTTATTGTGCTGGCAGAGCATCAATCTTTTTTTACGTATTTTTTAAGGAGGTCCACCGGGAAATGCACAGACACATTATAAAATATTGTGTAAAACGAGTTTATTTGCCATTGTCACTTGAGACTCTATGAAGTAGGTAAAGTCTTTAAGTGCAATATACTGTGGAGTTGAATTTCCAGTGCTACTAAAAGCGTTAGTTTTTGTTTGTTTGTAGTTAAGCAGAAAGCTAAATAATGGGCTATCTGTATTGTGACAACCCCAGTGTTTAGCTTTATATGCCTTCAGAATTAACGCCGTGCCACTGAAGAGTGATAATAACATTATTTGTAGGCTTAGTAGGCATCTGTAAGTCTCGCATGACCATAGATTAAAAAATAAAATGAACTTTCTTATACGGCTGTATAGTCGTATTTAGGACAAGCACACTGTTGCTGTTTGAGCAGACAAAGGTTGTTGTTAGGCATGAAGGCTGTTGCACTGACTTCTTTCTGGTGGTCCTTTTTTTTTTCTTCTGCCTACTGAGCTCTTTTCATTTTTCTTCATACAGGTTTTCTAACCATTGCATTATTAACATAATAATACAGTAGACATACAGGTTTTCTAACCATTGCATTATTAACATAATAATACAGTAGACATACAGATTTTCTAACCATTGCATTATTAACATGATAATACAGTAGACATACAGGTTTTCTAACCATTGCATTATTAACATAATAATACAGGAGACATACAGGTTTTCTAACCAAATAATGCAATGGCATTATTTGTATATCTCCTGTATTATTATGTTAATAATGCAATGGTTAAAAAACCTGTATGTCTCCTGTATTATTATGTTCATAATGCGATGGTTAGAAAACCTGTATGTCTACTGTATTATCATGTTAATAATGCGAAACATAATAATACAGGAGATATACAAATAATACCATTGCATTATTAACATAATAATACAGGAGACATACAAATAGCATTATTAACATGATAATACAGGAGACATACAAATAATACTTTCACAACGGTTAGAGTTTAAAACTAAAAAATAAATAAAAATATTGTGTTCTAGGTAAAGTTTTATGTGCATTATGCGTAAAAATACGTAGAAAGGGTTAAGCACAAAGTTACACAGTAGGCTGTCTGTGCTATGCTCACCGCGGATATCGAACCTCGATTGTTAACGTTGTTAGCCAGCATTCAGACTTACCGTTGGACCACTAGAGGCAAAATAAAAGGGATATAACTTTTTTTTTCAGTATCTACTACTTGTTGTTTTAGTGCAAATCTCTGCAAGGGACTATCTAGACTCCGTCCACCGTGAGAAATCGAACTCCGAATTTTAGAGTTGTAAGTTCATAAGCCCACAGGTTAAGTAAGTAAAACTACACATTAACAAAGAAATCTTTGTTTCTCGTTCTAATTTCACCTAATAAATAAAAAAAAAACATAATGCGTTGTGGTTATAAAATGAAAAGTCACGAACACGAAGTAGCATTTTTTTTTTACTTATTTTACTTATCTGGATACTCTAGAAGCTGTATGTTATTAAACTTTTTACATTTCTAAATATACTATCAATGTTTTTCCCATCGTGTAGTAGAACAATAAATAGTGGTTAGAAAAATATTCCTAGTAGGTCAATAAAGTTGTATTCTATGGAGATTTGTTTGAAAGATAACTGACGGAGATTCAAAACTTATAACAGCAGCCATTGTTATACTAAGATTTCCCATCAGAGTGAAGAGTCATTATTGTTTACCGATTCACTGGTAAAACAAAAAGTATCTCGTTAAGACAGAAAAAAAGTTACCGTTTCTCGTGGTAACCGCAAGGAGTTCAATAAACAGTATTTCAGTTGTCATTCCGTTGTATTTGTTTTGATCTACAATGATAGTTTATTGACCCATCCGAAGAATCTGTCCTTCAAAGACGTTTCCTAATTTGAAATCCGTTTTTTTTTTTTTTTCATACTTCTATAACTGCAGGTTACAGTTAATTATTAATAGGCCCTGTTTTGGTTATTTTCTTTGTTTGCTTTTGAGGCAAGTTATTTGGATTTACTTAGAACGTCAGTAGTACGCGGAATAAATCGTGAATGTTGTTTATTTATTTTGTTCTGTCTGGAACACTACTTCTGTCTGGAAATTAATTTCGTGCAGCAATGCAAGTTTTTGCTTACTGAAGCGGAACTTATATAAATTTATATATATGTATTTACTTTTGTTTATTTGTAATAAAGTTACTGTTTCTAAATATATTTGTTAGGCTTATAGCACTCACTCATTGGTCTATCAAAAATCAATTTTTTTTCAGCTCGTGCAAACATTGTGACATTTTAGCTATAAACGGTCGCGAAAACTATATTGAGGGTGTGGCCCTCCAAAACAAAAACAAATCGAAAAGCTCTTCACGATGCCACGTGGTTCTAATAAACCAATTGAAGCGCTCTATTTGAGAAAATAATACGTAAATTTAACGCATCGTTCACGGATTGTGAATATAAATACGGGTATCAGCACAACGAGAACTCATATCACTCAGAAGTATCGTTCAGAAAGCACCAAAGATGCTACAGAAGAAGGTACGATATTGATGATATCTATTGTAAAACGAAGTAGGAAATGATATTTCAGATGAACTAAAGTTATCTTCTTGGGTGAAACTATCTCTGGGTGTTTCTCTTCATACTCTGCGTTTGGTTATGCATTTATTAATTTTTTTATAAATTCGGTTTAATTTATTAATCTAAATGGTGCCACTAGACTTAATCAACACTATATTTTCTTCTTTTCCGCTGTATTTGTAAGAACAGAGCTCTAATACTGCTTTTTATTTTTATCTATCTTTAAAGTTGTTGGTTGTCATCTGTTTCTCTGTCCTGGTTTTGGCCATACGAGCAGAGGAGGAAACTAATGATGAGAAAGGGGACTTGAAGGCTGAGGCAACCGGTTACGGTGGAGGCATTGGCGGAGGTTACGGCGGAGGCTATGGCGGAGGTGGTTACGGCGGAGGCTATGGTGGAGGTGGTTACGGGGGAGGTTACGGCGGATTTGGGGGCTTAGGTGGATTTGGAGGTATTGGTGGCGGTGGCGGTGGCGCCCGGCTTATTTCTATTCCAATAGGTCTTACTGGTGTTATACTTGGAGGTGGCTATGGCGGTGGAATTGGTGGCTATGGCGGTGGAATTGGTGGCTTTGGAGGTGGAATTGGTGGCTTTGGCGGTGGAATTGGTGGTTATGGCGGTGGACGTGGTGGTTATGGCGGTGGAGGATATGGAGGACGTATAGGTGGTGGAAGAGGACGATATGGCTGGTGGTGGGATTAGAGGTCAGTATAAAGTCTGTGTTTCACCGAGAAAACAACACTGATGCAACTTGTTGTCAGGTGATAACAATCATTTCTGTTAATGAAAGACTATGGTAATTAATGTTTAACTTAATTTCTATTTCACCTTAGATATGACTCTATTCTAATTCCAATAATTTACATTAACGTTTCATCAATTATGCAATTAAAAGGTGTTTTTTGATAGTGTATTTGTTTTCACACACTAAATCAATTCTATTTATTAAACACCAGTAGGAATGTTGAGAACTGTTGGGTCTACTTTTTATCTCGCATTGACATTTATTTTCCAGGACAACTCCCATCATATCCACTTCAATCATTTGAAGTCTTTTTGTATCTTTGAGGTGTCCCTCGCATCGAACAATTCCTGCTAGAAAGTATGAAGTTATGTCTCCTATTGTATATGAAGCATCTGTAGAAATTTATGAAATAAAGACTGTTTAATTCTGATTAAATATCGTATTGAGTTTCTTATAACTTTTCTCTTGTACCTTATTGTAAAAACATAAAACTGCTTTTCTATATTTAGTGATATAATAAGTTGATTCAATATTCGACATTTGTGTATTGTCAAATACTGGAATTACCTACAAGAACCAATCAGATTCAGTCTTACTTCACAAGTTCATAAGTTTCATCACCAAGATGACTAAATAATTAAATCCTATTCCATGGAATATTCTTTAACCACTACACCATTGATGGAATTGGGTTTGAAATAACAAAGCAGAAGTTAATTAAATATGCAAAAGTACGGAATGTAGCTAATATAATCCAAAGTAAATTTCAATGTTATATATCTGTAGTTTAAATATCGTGTACAGAACAAAAAGTGTAACTTTTAATAACTATGGTAAAGAGAAGTAACAACACAGGCCTGCGAATTTAAACTTTATAAAAGTTGTTTTGGTTTTAATACCGGATTTTCCATAATTCAGCTACGCAGATTTCGAAAATAATATTCATTTTGTTCTATCGCGTAAGGACTTTTTACAAATGGGGAAGAAAAAAAAATCTTATTTAGATCAAATTATTATTTCGTTTACCACAATGAACATTTTTTTTTATAATTATGTTTGGGTTCTAGAACGATCGATAAGCCTCTCACGTCGCGATTGGTCTAGAGAAATCTATAGCCAGTGGTTGGCAACATTTTAAGAATAACAAAATGTGACCCAATTTCAGTGAAAATAACTCACTTATGTAAAAGTTCATATGACGTTTTGTGAAAAATCTGTAGGTGATGGAGAAAAATGGATATCATTTTAGAATTCAGCGTATATAAATTACCGTAGAACATGTAAACATTTCAAGACAATAAAACCATCACAGGTCTGTGTAATTAAGGGAGTTTTACATGTTAAAATAACAAACCATCCTCCAGTTAGTTAGTCGTGTTTATACTATTATTTTACGTTTATATCATACAATCACGTACCCGTTAAAACAACTCAACAGTAATTTTCTTAAAAATAGTGATGAATAAATATAAAATGTACAGTTAACCCAATCCTTTGGATCATAGTGTATATGCAATATGATTGTCTAGTGGACCGTTTAGAACCCTCTTTTGTCATTCCATGTTTTATTTCAATAAGGAAAACTGTATTGTATTTGTTTTTAAGCAAAGGAGACTGAATATAATGCATTGCTGGCAAAAATCTTTGATTTTCTTTGCATTGGGTGCATCCAAGTTCGCTAAGTAGCCGCTAGGATCTTTTTTTTCCAGGATGCCACCACTCCTTGTCATTTTATTGAGAGCAAGAAAAGACCGCTACGGAAATAAGCGCTTTTTGGCAGTTGTTATTTCTATAAGAAGAGTGAACAGGGAGATATTTAATTGAATTTAAGTCAATTTATTCGACATGGTACAACAAAATCATACATGTATACAATACTGACATAAAAAAATTAAAATACACATATAAACCGAACAACAATTACTACATACTCAAGCACGTTCTTTTAATTATGCGTTTTTCTGTTAATAGTCCTATCTTCGAAATAATTCTTTCAATCAGTCGACGGAGGAAATTCCGTTTTTTTCGTAAAATTCCCTCACAAAAAGAAATATTTTTGTTCTTGATAAGTTTGTCTTTCTCAGGTTTACCGTTTAGCTCATACGGAGACTGGTGTATCCATGTTGATATCGATATGAAATTTTAGGAATTGCTTAAAACAGATAATTTTCCTATGACGTACTATTTAAAAGAAACATTTGAATATATAACTTTTTTTATACGTTTGGTTTGTTTGAATTTCGCGCAAAGCTACATGGGGGCTATCTACGCTATTCGTCTTTAATTTATCAGTGAAATACTAGAGGGAAGGCAGCTAGTCACCGCCAACTCTTGGGCTACTCTTATACCATCGATGGTGGGATTGACCGTCACATTATAACGCCCTCACGGCTGAAAGAACGAGCTTGTTTGGTGGGACGGATTACGAGTTGAGCACTCTAACCACCTGGCCATGTCAGGCCTATTTTTTATACGATTATATATATTATATATATATACATATAGGTTGTCCGTTTTCTTGTTAAGAGGTACATTTTTATTTTGTGGTTGTATCATATCCAAAGTGAACTTATAAAAAACCTATACGTTTTATCATTAAGGATAACAAGTCTATTACAGGTCTATTATTTTCGGTTATGTTTGAACATACAAACTAAGCCAGATAAGCCTAATGCGCTATGGTTTAACATGTAGTTCATTAGAATTATTCAGTATTCTTTGAAAATTGTCTAGCTCGCGCTTGAGCATTTTATCAACGTCTTATGTATCTTGTTATTGTATATATATATAATGTTTTTCAGAAAACGATATCATTTATTTGTGTATTTATTCCTTTACTTTATAAAGCTTATTTACGACTTTCACCACTTCCGCTTTCCACCTACAACTTTCATAGCTCCCTCTATGAACAGATTAGTAACTTTCTTTTAAAGTTCTAGGTAATGAAGTGGAATTAGCATAAAAATACTATGTTTATGTAACATGGCTACCTGGGTATCATTTCATAGTTATATAAAAATATATTTAAAATCACCAAATGTTTTTAAAATGTTATCTTTCAAACACAAGGTAAACCGAATAAGTTAACAAGAACTAATCAATTCAGGTTAGCGTGTTAGTAATGTAACATGAAATGATCCATTCAGGTTAACATTTTAGTGATTTAACAAGAACTAATCAATTAAAACAGTTAAAATGTTTGTATTGTTTTCCGTTTCTAAGCAAATCACGTTTTTTTTTCATTAACACAAAGAAACTTCTTAAAGAGTAGATCTTCCGAACATGAATTAGCAGTTAATCGTAATCTAGCACATGAATGGAGTACTACTAAACCAATCAAAGCGTCTGTATCAAAACAATCCATTTAAAACTAAACCAATCAAAGCGTCTGTATCAAATCAATCCATTTAAACATTATCTACAGCACAGAAAGTTGATAACTTGGGGGAAATATTTGAATATGAATCAATAACATTATAAAATCTATACAGTTTTTATTATCAACAACAAGGAATGCATACTGTATTTATAAACAGTTGCGCAGACGTGACTTCGCTGTCCAAACGACATGCTTTCAAATATCATGATAAACTATAAAGGTTAGTGTAACCAGTCTGTGAATCTAAAAGTTCATGGTTCGCGTATTATTGCTACAAGAACACCCTCTATGCTTTAGGACGACAGACACATTATAAGAGTGACGGCTAAACCCACTATTCGCTTAGATAAGAGCAGCCAAAGAGAGGGCGGTGAGTGCTATTGACTAGCTGTCTTCGAATTACATACCAGGAGGGAGTTACAGCCAGCTTTATATCCCTATAGAATAGTTGTTTAAACTAACAAGTCAAAGACAATATCAGATGTAAACGTGGCATTATTATAATATTATTAGAGGTCTCACCTGTCTGATTAAACTAAATTATCACAGGAAATATAAGACATAAACGTGGATTACTATTATCATCTTTTTAGAAATATCGACTATCTTTACTAATCTATCACAGACAATATCAGACATGCAGAAGCAGCATTGTTATATTATTAGAAATCTCGTCTATCTGGACTAACCTATCATAGACAATATCAGACATGTAGAGGCAGCATTGTTATATTATTAGAAATCTCGTCTATCTCGACTAACCTATCATAGACAATATCAGACATGCAGAAGCAGCATTGTTATATTATTAGAAATCTCGTCTGTCTTTACTAATTTATCATAGACAATATACGACATGTAGAAGCAGCATTGATATATTTTTAGAAATCTTGTCCACCCTAACTAACCTATCATAGACAATATCAGACACGTAGAAGCAGCATTTGTTATATTATTAGAAATTTCGTCTATCTTGACTAACTTATCATAGACAATATCAGACACGTAGAAGCAGCATTGTTATATTATTAGAAATCTCGTCTATCCTGACTAACTTATCATAGACAATATCAGACACGTAGAAGCAGCATTGTTATATTATTAAAAATCTCGTCTATCTTGACTAACTTATCATAGACAATATACGACATGTAGAAACAGCATTGTTATATTATTAGAAATCTCGTCTGTCTTGACTAACTTGTCATAGACAATATACGACATGTAGAAGCAGCATTGTTATATTATTAGAAATTTCGTCTATCTTGACTAACTTATCATAGACAATATACGACATGTAGAAGCAGCATTGTTATATTATTAGAAATCTCGTCTATCTTGACTAACCTATCATAGACAATATACGACATGTAGAAACAGCATTGTTATATTATTAGAAATCTCGTCTGTCTTGACTAACCTATCACAAACAACGTAAGTTTGGTTTGTTTTTATGGAGCAAAGTTACACAATGGGCTGTGAATGGAAGACATGGAAGTGATATTACTATTGTTGTAATATTATTAATCTCGACTATATGTGTCTTGGTGTAATAACGATTCACTAATACCTTCTAATACGCATCATGTTTTGTTTTGTTGTTGTCGTTTTATATAATGAACAATAATCAACATAATAACACCGTCGCAAACAAAACATACATTTTGGAGTCTGCAAAGTTTGAGCTCAAGATCTAGCCCAGGGCTTAGTAACAATCATTGATTCTCAGAAACTTATTATTAGAGAAGAGAAGAAGAATGAATTTTTGAACCTGTACTACTACAATTATAAACATTTTAAAAGATTTCTCTGTATCTAATATCGGCTTCCAAAAATTCGACAGCTAACAAAGTAATGCCCTAATAAAACCGTTATGTTTCTTTATGAAGTAATTTTGAATGACCAAAATTCATCAATTAATTTAGTTTCCTGATATAGATAGACAGAAGTCTTGGTTTTGTATTTGTTTATTTCAGCGCAACGCCATCTGCGTCCTGTCCACCACGGGGAATGAAACTCAGGATTTTTGCGTTCAAGATGGAAACTTGCTGTTGACTCAGTGGCTTTTGTGAGGTTATCGAATTCAGTGTTGCTGGAAAGTTAGGGTTCGTACAGAGATTTTTGCTGCTTCTTCCGTTTTCTTTTTTTTTTGTACGTTGATGGCGTCTTTGTCTCAGATCTGAGACATTCTTTACCTTACTATCAGATTTGTTGGTTCTATTTACAGATATTAGCTTATTATCTAGTTTCTGCTATTTATGTGTCTTTCTCAGTAAAGTCGTTATTGTTTTCGCTTTGCTCTACAGTGAACTCTCCTAGAAATCCTAATCTTTCTCTGCTCTTTACTTGCTCTTCACACAATGTATTACACCCTACGTAGAAACCTAAATTGTCACGAGTGATTTTTATCGGTACCCTTTCTCATTCTTATCGCTCGGTGGTCATCCTGAATATTAAAACAGCGACGTGGCTTCTCGTGTAGCGTTTTTATGCTTCGCATGTGGGAAGCGTCAGTAAAGTGGTCGCGCTTTTCAAGAAAATCACTGGTTTTATCCGTAAGAAGCGTAAATGACAACATATTTTTCATTCCTTTCTATTTTTAGACGCGCATCGGTAGTTTAATGACCTACTTCGAATTTATTTCTGTTATTCTAGAGAGAGAGAGAAAAAAAAAGTATCACGATATAATTTCTTGTTGAACGCCAGAAAAATGATCTACAAGTTTTCGAAAATGTAAATATCATCATTCGAGTAACTTCTTAGTACAGCTATTCTCCAATCCCTAAATCATGATTTGGAATTTTTCTTGTGGAAAGAGCTAGTTTAATAACATGGCTTGTACCGAGCACACAGAAGCATTAATTAGATTGTCTTGTGTAAAAACGTTAGCTTCTATTGAAATCAAGATCTATTTCAAATACAGGTTATTGTTTACGCGAGGTGAAATTTGATTGCGCGTGTTCCCAAATAAGAAAACGTCAGTGTATAGACGTAAGTTCTTTTTGTTACTTTTGTATCGCTTAGTCATTGGCTGACAAAGAATTGAAAATGATTTCAGCCCCGTGCCAAATTAGCATACGTAGAATTGCTTTAAGGGCGTGGGTTTGAAACAAAAATTAATTGGCTAGTCTCTTGTATCACGTGAACATCGTTGTGCATCGTGAATGGCTGAGCTTTATACGCGAAATGATTCCTATTCACGCATCACCGCCCTCGTCTGAGTATAAATATGAGTGTCGGCAAGACGATATTCAACTTGGCAAAAGATTCTTAAGCTAAACGTTAAAGATGGTGCAGAGGAAGGTGAGAATATCTCTGTTTCTATTAGCTTTTCAACTCAAATTATTATAAGACGATTATTTTAATAAACTAGAGCAGTTAAATTTTTAGCGCTTAATATTATTTGAATAACGCACCAGATGGGGAAAAAAACATTATCTTAACTCGAATTTAAATCGCTAAGTTCGTGTAAACGCAATGGAAGTTCACAATAATCACTGAGTTTTACCATATATACCACTGACCAGTGTAACTAACTGTCGATACCTTCTAAGCTATGAAATACCTTTGAAATATTTAAAATCTAAAAGTTACTCTGTTGTATACAGCAATGATCCAATTACTAAAAGATTAAAATATTTTAGTTACTAAACCTTAATCTTGTTTATTTGTTTACACGGATATCCTTCGCAAGGCACTTTTGGTACATTAAAACTAATTGAATTCTCTGCTTTATTTTCAAACTAGCATGGTGTTTAGGGACGGAACTGAATAATACTTAAGTTTTTGTTTTCATATTATAATTTCTTACTTAACTGAAATACTGTGTGATCTAAGTTTCATTTTTACTTTGAATGAATTGCTATGTGATCTAAGTATTATTTTTACTTTTATTGAAAATCCATGTGATTTAAGTTTTATTTTTACTTGAACTGAAATGCTATGTGATTTAAGTATTATTTTTTTCTTTGACTGAAATGCTAAGTGATCTAAGTTTTATTTTTACTTTGAATGAAATGCTGTGTGATCTAAGTTTTATTTTTACTTTGACTGAAATGCTGTGTGATCTAAGTTTTATTCTTACTTTATTGTTAAAGCTGCTCTTAGCTGTTTGCTTTACTGTGTTGGGCCTGGCTGTGCGAGCCGAGGATGAAGCTGAAGATCTGAAGGCTGAAGCAACTGGCCATTACGGTGGAGGAGGCTATGGAGGAGGTGGAGGTTTAGGTGGTTATGGAGGTTTTGGTGGAGGAGGTTTAGGTGGTTATGGAGGTTTTGGTGGAGGAGGCGGAGGTTTTGGTGGTTATGGAGGTTTTGGTGGCGGTGGCGGAGGAGTCCAACTTCTTGCTATTCCAATAAGTGTCGGATATGGTGGCGGTGGATATGGTGGCGGCGGATATGGTGGCGGCGGATATGGCGGCGGCGGCGGATATGGTGGTGGTATTGGAGTGGGACTTGGAGGCAGAAGATATGGCAGAGGAGGATATGGTTGGTGGTGGGATTAAAGGTTTGTTCCAATAAGTCCAGTGGTATTTTTCTCAGGTTACAGAGTTCCATTGGTTTACTCCCAGTGATATTAGTATTTGAAAGTTTTGAACAAATTATAAACACAAATTAAATATAAGATAAGTAGTACAAGCCTTCAAACTCAAAACTTTGATACATTTGGTTTATGTACATAACTAATTCCACTTAATGATAAGTGAATAAGATTATTATGTTTGCATGCTAATGTTTTACGTAGTTGACGTTATTATTATTATTATTATTACTACTATAAGTATATGTCTTTTGCAGGAGAGGTACCATTATTATTACTACTATAAGTATATATATTTTGCAAGATAGGTACCATTTTTATTACTACTATAAGTATATATATATTTTGCAAGATAGGTACCATTTTTATTGTTACTACTATAAGTATATATATTTTGCAGGACAGGTACCATTATTATTATTATTACTACTATAAGTATATATATTTTGCAGGACAGGTACCATTATTATTATTATTACTACTATAAGTATATGTATTTTGCAGCACAGGTACCATTATTATTATTACTATAAGTATATATATTTTGCAAGATAGGTACCATTTTTATTATTACTACTATAAGTATGTGTATTTTGCAGGACAAGTACCATTATTATTACTACTATAAGTGTATGTCTTTTGCAGGACAGGTACCATTTTCTCAACACAGATGAGATGGAACTTCTACGCCTTCTCAGAATCCTGAATATAAATATTACTTTTCAAGATTATGATATTTTCTAGACTGCTGTATATGAAATTTTTGTAAAAAAAAACGAAACAAATAAACATGGCTTATGTCTCAGTTTACTTTATGTGTGGTTTCTAGTATCGTTTCAACAGTCTGTAACGAATACAGGAAACATGCTAGAGCTTTTTTTTAATCTTCGAACAATGCTTGTTGAAGATCTAAAAATTAGAAAAACAAAAACGCTCACATCTGTCGTTTGATAGAACAATATATATATATACACTTACCTCTTAAACAATATGACTAACGCCTCGTGGAAAAGCTTTTCAAAACATTCCTGTGTAGTGTTAAAAAGTAACAACCCTGTGAAGTGAGGGCATAATACAAAAAAGTTATCTGAAGTTATATGTAAGACAAATGTCCATAAAACTAAACGTATACACGACTTACATACACTGGATATATGAAGAAATAAAATTCACAAGTAACGAGGATTTTTTATGTTACTTGTTTCAATGCGTTTCAAGTAAATGTTTATTTAAAACTATTTTACCCCTAGTGTGATGAATCAGAATCACCATGACACCATACTTTCAAGTGAGACCAAAGCATACTAACCTTACAAGTCTCTTCCAACCTTTGAAATGAGTTACTTCAGACACGTATGGTTTCTTATTCTCAAGAGGCCCCGTTTTTCATAAGTTCCCTAGAGCATAAGCCTGAGAACTTCTAATAGAGAACCAGTTATGTAGCTTCGCGCTTAACAACGGAAAGAAAAAATAGTTCTTTCGATCTCTTAAGTTTCTTTAATCATTTAGATACTGAATGTAGATAGCGTGTATGCACGTGAGATCGAATATACTTATAACTTATATATATTTATTGTTATTCGTTACACTTTATAGCTTTAATTAATATTCAGCCCCTAGAATCGGTTAAATACGTCACACGCTTATTACAAAAATACTAGACGAAATTGTCGTTTTTAAATGTCATGTATGTTTCATTGTTACTTTGTTTTATTGTTACTGTGTTTCATTGTTACTTTGTTTCATTGTTACTTTCTCAGAAACGTTGATTAACTTACGTTGCAGATGTTTTTGTTTGTAGATCATACCTTAAGAAAACATTATGTCACCAAATGAGTGAGTGAGATGTTATGAAAACTCATTAATTGTTACCATCACATTAACACCAACACTGTTGAATAACATAACAATGATGTTAAAAAAACACGTAGGTTCAAGAAGTCTTGATAGAAATGAATAAAAACCCTATAATCCGAGCGCAAACTGAAGAAGAAAGATCCACCTTTCGAAAGCGCTCGTGTTATATGTTTTTTATTCATTTTTATCAAGAATAACACAACAATACATGTTGTGGTAGCAGAGACTCCGAGGTATTCAGTCAAGCATAAAACTTTGGCTCTGTATGATAACATATTAAACTAACTAGTGCAACGCAAAAAAAAAAAAATATATAAAACGCTCACAATAAACCATAGACTCCATCCCTTGCTAAGCATGTACGGTGTTAAAAATTTAAAACTAAAGTCATACCTCATTTAAAAACATTTTAGGGGTAATGTTTCTATTTTGCATAAACTCCTAGTGAAATATAATTTGAAAAACTTGAGATGTCTACAAAATAATAAAACTTGTCAATCTACGTAACGTTGACTTATTTTCCCCAGCTAGGCCTAAATCAATTTTCATTTTTCGTAACGTATAATTTTTTCACCAGTTAAGCCTACATCAATCTTCATTTAAAGTTGAATTATTTCCACCTGTTAAGCCTACATCAGTCTTCATTCTCTGTAACGATTTATTATTTTCACTAAAATCGACCATTATATAATGGAGCTCAACATTTCTATTGAAAATTAGTTAAGTTCATTGAATATAAAAGTTATGGTTTATTTGTATTGTTTGCAAGGAAATACGACATTACCGGTATTGTTTGCAAGGAAATACAACATTACCAGTATTGTTTGCAAGGAAATACGACATTACCAGTTACCTAAAATCGTCTTTAAGAATAGTTGCTTTCTCTTTTCGTCTCTTTCGATACGATTCCTGCTTAACTAATGAAAACAATTCAATGTTTTGGAGATTCCAGATAGATTTAGGCTTAATTAGGGAAACTATTTCACAAAAATGGTCTGTTCATGATTGAGTGATTGATGCTTTACATGACTATTACCCCCCCCCCAAAAAAAAAAAAACTTAATCGAGTGATTAGTTCCTAGGAGGCAATGCATTTTTGAAATAGGTTAATTAAGACAATTACAAATGTTATAAAAAAATTGTAGTGGGATTATGGCCAAAAACATCGTTGATAACCCATCCAATCATTTAAAGAAGTTTAATAAACGTATATTTCATTATTCTTGGGATTTGATTTTCTGCATTAGGGTTGGTTTCATTAATGTAAAGTTACGTTTACTTTCTAATCTAACTGTTTCACGTGGTATAAGATACATGAAACGTGTCAGAGTTATTAGGAATCTAACTGTTTCACGTGGTATAAGATACATGAAACGTGTCAGAGTTATTAGGAATCTAACTGTTTCACGTGGTATAAGATACATGAAACGTGTCAGAGTTATTAGGAATCTAACTGTTTCACGTGGTATAAGATACATGAAACGTGTCAGAGTTATTAGGAATCTAACCGTTTCACGTGGTATAAGATACATGAAACGTGTGAGAGTTATTAGGAATCTAACCGTTTCACGTGGTATAAGATACATGAAACGTGTCAGTTATTAGGAATCTAACCATTTCACGTGGTATAAGATACATGAAACGTGTCAGAGTTATTAGAAATCTAACCGTTTCACGTGGTATAAGATACATGAAACGTGTCAGAGTTATTAGAAATCTAACCGTTTCACGTGGTATAAGATACATGAAACGTGTGAGAGTTATTAGGAATCTAACCGTTTCACGTGGTCTAAGATACATGAAACGTGTCAGAGTTATTAGGGATCTAACCGTTTCACGTGGTATAAGATACATGAAACGTGTCAGAGTTATTAGGGGTCTAACCGTTTCACATGTTCTAAGATACATGAAACGTGTCAGTTATTAGGAATCTAACTGTTTCACGTGGTACAAGATATATGAAACGTGTCAGAGTTATTAGGAATCTAACTGTTTCACGTGGTATAAGATACATGAAACGTGTCAGAGTTATTAGGAATCTAACCGTTTCACGTGGTATAAGATACATGAAACGTGTCAGAGTTATTAGGAATCTAACTGTTTCACGTGGTAGACGATACTTGGAACGTGTCAGAGTTATTAGGAATTTAACCGTTTCACGTGGTATAAGATAGATGAAACGTGTCAGAAGTATTAGGAATCTAACCGTTTCACGTGGTATAAGATAGATGAAACGTGTCAGAAGTATTAGGAATCTAACCGTTTCACGTGGTATAAGATACATGAAACGTGTCAGAGTTATTAGGAATCTCCAGGTAATACGTTATGGTTCCAATTTTGGTCTATGTTTGTAGTTAAGCACGAAGTTACACAATGGGCTACCTTTTTTGTGCCCAACACGGGTATCAAAACCCGTTTTTTTGCGTTATAAGTCCGCAGACTTTCCGATGTTCCTTTGGGGGGCTATATGGTAACAATGGCCTAATAATAACATATAATTCATCGTTATAGCGATTGTATTTCCCAAAGTTTTTTTTTTTTCTAGATTACTTGAAAGTTCTTTAATGGTAGATGTAGCTTGTCAATTTCCACAGCCACACTAGAAAATCAACAGAGGGAGCAGTTATCGTTATAAAGTTATTACCACCGTTCCACATTATACTGTAATGCTTCCCGCGAAATTGGGTTTCACGTCTTCATCATAACTTGAAGTTTTAACATTTAATGGCATTATTTGATTTTCATTCCATTATTTTCTGCAACCTTCCCTCCCCTCAGTGAATCAGCGGTAAGTTTACGGACTTACAACGCCAAAATCTGGGTGTTCGATTCCCCCTGATGGAAAAGGCGCAGATAGACCATTGTGTAGTTTTGCGCTAGAACAAAACAAACAAACAAACAAATTATCACTTTCTTGACTGTAATCTGAGAAGAAAGGTTAAAGAAAAACACAGCCATTAAATTATATTAAAAACATTGAAACGACAGACATTTCCTGGTTTTATTAACATACCTTAATCAACTGGTTTACAAACCCTACTTTTACACATTAGTCAATTTGCTTTAAACCAGTTGATTAAGGTGTAAAAGTAGGGTTTGAATCAATGTGAACCAGTTGATTAAGGTGTAAAAGTAGGGTTTGAATCAATGTAAACCGGTTGATTAAGGTGTAAAACTAGGGTTTGAATCAATATAAACCAGTTGATTAAGGTGTAAAAGTAGGGTTTGATTCAATGTAAACCAGCTGATTAAGGTGTAAAAGTAGGGTTTGATTCAATGTCATTGATTAAAACCCTAGTTTTACACCTTAATCAGCTGGTTTACATTGATTCAAACCCTACTTTTACACCTTAATCAGCTGGTTTACATTGAATCAAAGCCTACTTTTACACCTCTTCTTTATTATGCTTATCTTTCACGTCGTTTCGAAAACGACTATTTTTTTATCCTTTCAAACTCAAAACCCACTTTAGAAACATTTCCTGGTTGTATGCTGAAAAGAAAGATACTCCCATTTTCAACATAAACCAATTTGCAAGAAAGTTGGTCATTTTAGCCTCGAGGAGGCATTTTACCGATATATATATTTTTTCCCTTTCATCGTATGTAATCGGATTACCTTTTTATTTTCACTGAATTTCAGAAGGAAAAAAATCAAGCCCAAATAAATGTCTTGATCTTGCAGTTAATACAGGCTTTATGATAAAACACGTTAAGGGTGTGGTCGTTTAACGAAACAATGGTTCTTCAGGAAACAACAGTTTTTCTCGTTTCACACGTGACTTTCACGTGAAATTTATATTCATCAAAATGTACATAGGTAAATTTGCATTCTACAACCCTCTTATGGGTTCTGGACTATAAATACGAGTGCTAGGACGACGATATCCAACATCCCCGACAAATCCCGTTTGGTAAGGAGCAAAAATGACAGCCCAAAAAGTAAGATAAATATATTATAAGGGATTTTTCTCATTCTACAATAATTTTACTCTCTTAGTGTCTAAACTAGAGTGTCTATACGGAAAGACAGAGGAAAACAGACTGGGAGAGACCAGCTAGTATATGTTAAAGATTAGGCTTAACGGTAAACTTTCTTAAATCTTGAAAATTGTTGATTATGCCAGATTTCAGTGTTCTTCCAGATTGTGAGATGTATTGTTTTATTCAAGACTATGAGATACAGCGTCTTATTTAAGACACAATGTCTTACTCCAGACTGAGAAATACAGACTCCAGACTGAATAACACAGACTCCAAACTGAGTTATAGTGTCTTACTCCAGACTGAGAGACACATACTCCATACTGAGAGGTACAGACTCCAGACGGAGAGACACAAACTCCAGGCTGAGAAATATAGTGCCTTACTCCAGACTGAAAGGTATGAGAGATACAGACTCCAGACTGAAAGACACAGACTCCAAACTGAGATATATAGTGTCTTATTCCAGCTTAAAGATAGTGTCTTATGCCAAACTGACAGATATATAGTGTCTTATTCCAGCTTAAAGATAGTGTCTTATGCCAAACTGACAGATATATAGTCTTATTCCAGAATGACAGATATAGTGTCTTATGCCAAACTGACAGATATAGTGTCTTATTCCAAACTGACAGATATAGTGTCTTATTCCAAACTGACAGATATAGTGTCTTATTCCAGAATGACAGATATATTGTCTCATGCCAAACTAGCAGATATAGTGTCTTATTCCAAACTGACAGATATAATGTCTTATGCCAAACTGGCAGATATAGTGTCTTATTCCAAACTGACAGATATAGTGTCTTATTCTAGAATGACAGATATAGTGTCTTATGCCAAACTGAGTTTGGCATGAGACAATATATCTGTCATTCTGGAATAAGACACTATATCTGTTAGTTTGGAATAAGACACTATATCTATCATTCTGGGGCAGATATATAGTGTCTTATTCCAGAATGACAGATATACTGTCTTATGCCAAACTGGAAGATATAGTGTCTTATTCCAAACTGACAGATATGGTGTCTTATTCCAGAATGACAGATATAGTGTCTTATGCCAAACTGGCAGATATAGTGTCTTATGCCAAACTGACAGATATAGTGTCTTATTCCAGACTGAGAGATGCAATGGTTTATTCAAGAGTTTCATGAAAAGAACAATAGTGTAAAAAACTGAAAAAAACATACAAATATAGTTTATTACCTTCATATGTTGGAGAAAATTGTATACAGACAATTTCTGGCACTTACATATTCATGTTTTAACACTTACTTGAAATTAAAACCTTTCTAATCCACATTGGTCATAATTTATATTTTTTTCAGGGAAAAATTACAAGTACGGTTATCTATATCTTTCTTGTTTTACCGATTCTTCATTTTTAAAGCTGCTTTCAGTTGCCTGCTTCACTCTTTTGATCCTGGTTGTGCAAGCAGAGGAGAAAAATAACGCTGAAAATGAAGACCTTCAGGCTGAGGCCACTGGTTATGGTGGAAGCATTGGAGGTTATAAGAGTGGATTTGGAGGAGCTGGACTTGGCGGATTTGGTGGAATTTCCGGAGGGGTGGTGGTATAGTCCATATTCTTGCCATTCCAGTGAGAGTATATGGAATCAGTGGAGGAGGAGGCTATGGAAGTGGAGGTCTGGGAGGATTATATGGAAGTGGAGGTCTGGGAGGATTATATGGAAGTGGAGGTCTGGGAGGATTATTTGGAAGTGGAGGTCTGGGAGGATTATATGGAAGTAGTTACAACACTGGTGGCATCAGTCTTGGTGGTGGTTTCAGCACAAGCAGTTACGGCATCGGTAAAGGAAAGTATGGGTGGTGGTGGGGTTAAAGGTCAGTCTATTTGGTTTTTCTTGTAACTAGTTGCTAAAGTTATCGATTTTTCTTTAAAGAACCTAATGATAATTAAAATGTTGAACGTTTTACAAAGAAATCCATTTTAAGAGCAGCACTTAATAATCATCGGGTTTGTGGTGTGTCTTAAGAACGAAAAATATTTTAATAAACTTAAGTATGTTTTTCAGTCTTGTCTACCAAAAATATTTTAATAAACTTAAGTATGTTTTTCAGTCTTGTCTACCAAAAATATTTAAAAAAATTGTAACTAGAACACCTTTAGCGTTTTAATAACTAACACGTGCTTGGTTTTTGTTTTCGTTGTACTGTGCCTCTAGGAATATAAAATGTATATACTTAGTAACAAATAAAATACCTTATTCGAGATTAAAAATTAATATTTTAACTTAATTCGTATATTCCCTTTACATATATATATTTTTTTTACGAGTCATCTCAATATCCTGTATTTATTTTTTCAGGATAGAAACCAACTCTTTGATTTTCCATTGACAATTTCGTCAAGCTTCAGTTTCCGAGTCCTTGTATATGACACAATTAAGTTTCTGTATTCATAAATATTATGTTTCCTTTTCTTGGATTTCTTCATTTCCAAAATCTGGGACGTAAATATTTAGATTATCTTATTTTCAACAATTTTCTGAAAAAAATCATTACAACGAACTTATTTTCTTACGTGTGTACATCCTGAATAAATATGTTCATCTTCAGCTGTTCGTGTATCATCTTCATTAACAAAGTTCATGTACAATAGTACAATTAGCTACCATTTCTTCACTAGATCTACAGTACTTCACGTTAATGAAACTGAAACAAATATTATTATTCAATATTGTAAAATCGATAATTTAATTAAAAGTAATAATTTTAATGTGAAATACGCGAATGTGTTTATGGAGTTTATTTTCATATCGAACAAACGGCCACTCAGAAAGGTGCTTCAATACACTAACCTTGCTCTAAGTTAAAGTAGACTATCTTATAATCGAATGAAACCTTTAATAAATAAAGTTATCCATTACTACTTACTTGATTTTTAACGTTTCGGTATTTTTAACGTTTCGGTAAGAGTATGTATTTTATTATGCAGTTTAATAATAATCTTGATGTAAAATATTTTATAATAAACTTTCTTATGTTGATTTTTTGCTGCTTTCGTTCCAATTTTAAATTAAACGCTGTTTATATCACATTACAAAGTTCTGAAAGTAAGTTTGTTATTTTGTCTTGTAAGTTCATCACATATGTTCGTTGGTCTTGTCTAGTAAGTTCATCACATATGTTCGTTGGTTTTGTCTAGTAAGTTCATCACACATGTTCGTTGGTTTTGTCTAGTAAGTTCATCACACATGTTCGTTGGTTTTGTCTAGTAAGTTCATCACATATGTTCGTTGGTTTTGTCTAGTAAGTTCATCACATATGTTCGTTGGTTTTGACTAGTAAGTTCGTCACATATGTTCGTTGGTTTTGACTAGTAAGTTCATCACACGTGTTCTTTGGTTTTGTCTAGTAAGTTCATCACACATGTTCGTTGGTTTTGTCTAGTAAGTTCATCACATATGTTCGTTGGTTTTGTCTAGTAAGTTCATCACATATGTTCGTTGGTTTTGACTAGTAAGTTCATCACACGTGTTCGTTGGTTTTGACTAGTAAGTTCATCACACATGTTCGTTGGTTTTGACTAGTAAGTTCATCACACATGCTCTTTGGTTTTGACTAGTAAGTTCATCACACATGTTCTTTGGTTTTGTCTGGTAACTTTATCACACGTGTTTATTGGTTTTGACTAGTAAGTTTATCATAATGTTCGTTGGTTTTGTCTAGTAAGTTTATTACAATGTTCATTGGTTTTGTCTAGTAAGTTTATCACAATGTTCATTGGTTTTGTCTAGTAAGTTTATTACAATGTTCATTGGTTTTGTCTAGTAAGTTTATCACATTGTTCATTGGTTTTGTCTAGTAAGTTTATCACAATGTTCGTTGGTTTTGTCTAGTAAGTTTATCACAATGTTCGTTGGTTTTGTCTAGTAAGTTTATCACAATGTTCATTGGTTTTGTCTAGTAAGTTTATTACAATGTTCATTGGTTTTGTCTAGTAAGTTTATCACATTGTTCATTGGTTTTGTCCAGTAAGTTTATTACAATGTTCATTGGTTTTGTCTAGTAAGTTGATCACACAGTTTAAATGATACCGTCTGCTTAAAGATTTTAAATCTTGTTCATCAAACATTTAGGTATTCATAACACCACTTAAAGATTATATAGAATAGAAAAGTTTATTTACATATCAAATATATAGACAAATGTCAATTGCAAACTAAATCAAATCAAACACTTCTGTCGTAAGTTTTCAAATCATTCATTGTTTAGACTTACACGGGTATTCACATGTAATATTATATTGCTGTGCGTCTTCACATTGAAACAGAATCATCATCGGCATAAGAAGAGTGACATAAATATGTCTCATACATCATGTTCATACTTGAAGGTTGGTGCCGTTGACTAGATGTCGTTTCTTTAATCTATAACTTCATAATTAAGGGTGGTTAGCGTAAGTATCCGAAACAAAAAATAAATTACTGCATAACATCTTCTACAGGACAAAATTTAAATCATAATCATAATACTTCACGATAAATGTTTGTAAAGACAAACATAATCATAACACTTGACGGAAAATGTATGTGAGGACAGGTTTATAAAAATATCATAGGACAAAACACAAACCATAAGCATAACACTTGACGGAAAATGTATGTGAGGACAGGTTTATAAAAATATGATAGGACAAAACACAAACCATAAGCATAACACTTGACGGAAAATGTATGTGAGGCAGGTTTATAAAAATATGATAGGACAAAACACAAACCATAAGCATAACACTTGACGGAAAATGTATGTGAGGACAGGTTTATATAAATATGATAGGACAAAACAAACCATGATCATAACACTTGACGGAAAATGTATGTGAGGACAGGTTTATAAAAATATGATAGGACAAGACACAGACCATAAGCATAACACTTGACGGAAAATGTATGTGAGGACAGGGTTATAGCAATATGATAGGACAAAACACAAACCATAAGCATAGCACTTGACGGAAAATGTATGTGAGGACAGGTTTATAACAAGGTGATTTTATTCAGACATTTGTTGTAATTTTTTCACACATATTTGAATTGACTTTTGATAGAAATATGAACAAGTTAAATAACTCCTTTAATGCATATTTTTCAAAACTCAAATACATGCTCAATTCAGAAAACCTCAAAAATTTTTTTGTAGGATTTTCGAATCACCAATAAAATCACGAGCCTTAGTATATTTAAAAACAGAATATTTCTTTCATCCAACCTCTTTAAACTAAGAATGAGACTTTCAAGAGTGCCAAAACAGAAACAAAACCATAGTCGTCTCTACCTCTGAACACTGACAGACTACAGAGAAACAAGTGTCAACCGGTAACTCTTTGTATTCTCGTGTCCGACCAAATAGTGAGTTTCGACAATAACTCTTACAGTGCACTACGGCTAGTGCGGAACGCGTTTTTTATTTTTATTTTTTTGGCATCAGGTCACGAACCATTCATTTGCGTATTAACAGCCTAGTACAGTAGCAACTAGGCCACGCCCAGCACTGGTTGTTAGTTACTAGATTAGACTAATGCATATCATTAGTATATTTTACGATTTAAGATAATTTTACAGGAGTACTGCTGTAAAAAAGTGTGTTTTTTTTCTTCTCAAATTGTTCATTAATTCTTTGGTTTATTTGACAGCTTCGGATAAAACATATAGAGTAAAGTGATCATTTATTCCATTAATCTAGTTCACAATTTTATCCTATTAACGTGGTCAATTTTCTCGTCTTTAGGGTTAATGGATGTAATTTTAATAAAGTTAAAATAATAAAGTGTGTGTATGTGTGAGTGTTGTGCAAGTTAGTTATTAATAATTAGTATTTAAATTTACGCCAAAGCTACTAAGACTATTGCCCCCCCCCCCAGTGGCACAGACTTACAACGCTAGAATCTGGGTTTCGATACCCGTGGTTGGCAGAGCACAGATAGCCCATTGTGAAGCTTTGTGCTTAATTACAAACAAACACGAACACTAACACTAATTTCCAACCCCCTTAATTCTGAACTATTGATTAGTCAGCAGCACCCTACCCCACACTATCCACGCTAAGGAAATGACTGTCACTCTTTATAACACATCTACAGGTTAAATTTATAGTTTCGCCCAGATTCGCCACCTCCGAAATTCGGAACTCCATCTCTTGGTTGTCTGACCATGAAATTCTCACTAGGGAGACTGTCAATAGATGACATTTTACAGATTTTTCAAGATAACGTACTAAGCAAGTAGTTTGAATATTTCAGAGTAGGTTGGGAACTTTGTTACGATTATAATTCGAAATCTTTTATTGTCACTAAATAATAGAGGCGGGCCTGACATGGCCTGGTTAAGGCTTCAACTCGTAACCTGATGTCGCGGGTTCGAATTCCCGTCACCGAACATGCTAGTCCTTTTCAGGCGTGAGGACGTTATAATGTGACGATTAATCCCATTATTCGTTGGTAAAAGAGCAGCCTAAGAGTTGGCGATGGGTAGTGTTGACTAGCTGTCTTCCCTCTAGTCTATCACTTCTAAATTAGAGGCGGCTATTTGGAGAGGTGATGGGCGTCACCAGGTAAATCTGGACTAACTCGGGAGTAACAAAAAAAAAAAAGAAAGAAGAAGGAAGAACCATAAAGTTGCCCCCTCACCGATTCATAGAAACTCTGAAATTTTCCAATGTCATTTATTCTTAGGTCACTCTGACTTATTTATAAAAGAGGTGCTCAGATTGTGTCAGGATACACGTTTTGTTATCAGTTCTCATAACCAGACTCTAGTTGTGTGTATATAATCGATTTTAGTATTAC